CTTCAGCAGCCGTAGGCTTTTTTAGGTATAAACAAAAACATGAAGCCATTGTTGTGTCTCTGCAATGTAAACAGGACGATCCACCTTGAAACAACCTTCTCTCCCCTCTCCCCCCCCCCCCCAATCTCCTGTCCCGGCCTTGACTAGTACTGAAAACTGCATCTATAGACGAACTATGGAGAACACAGAGAACAGAGGTATTACATTTGCTATCTGTTCTTAAAGGTGTACTATAAATATTTGAAAATGTCCAAAATTCCAATATTTTAAAAAATTTCCAAATATCCTGCAAAGCGATTTACCTCTTATTTGATTCAGGCCTGAAAAGTGATTAAACCCATCAAATAAAATTTAGTAACTACATGTATGTCAATATCTCCTGCTGAAATGTCAGGAAGACATGGTGGTCTAAATGAATCATGATTTGTTCAGAAACGGGTTTTTCAACTCAAAACGGTACAAAAATAGTACAAAACGTTAAACCACTTGTGCAAGTGAACAAGGACGGATCAAGGAATGATTCAAAAATGAGAATTTTTTTTCTTTTTCTTTCTAAAAAAGCCATTTGGCATAAAAATCCTGTATAGGACACTGTTTAAGTATTAGCTTATGTTCAGAAAAGGTATTTAACAAATTTAACAATGCTCTTCAATGGAAAGGTGGTAAACCATTACTTTAAATTTCCATTTGTTTGAAAATAACTAAGAACTTAACACCCATGCATGTTAGAGGGTCTGTCCAAATGTATGACATATTATGCATTTAAATACAGAAGATATTCCTGCAGGCAGGTACATGCAAACAGTGTGCAACGCCCTTCTTCATACAATCCAAACAAAGGCAGAAGTACAAGGCTCATCATCCTTTCTCAACCACAAACATGTTCTGTACAAATTCATGCTCTTTATTCTATTTCCAAGGAGTCTGCACAATGTGCTAGATATTAATGAGGTATTTGGAAATAAAATGAAATATTAAATACATTTCAGGAATCTTGAATTTATAATGAAATATAATACATATTATGTATTTGATAACGTACGTGACAGCAAGTGTTCGATATTCTATGAATTCAAAGGACTCTAATTTAGTTTGTCAAAGATGTATGTCAAGTTGAAGTCAATGCGCTAGATTCAAGGAACTGCTCAAGGGCAAGCAAGGTTAAAACAACCTGTCATACTGAGAAAAAACGATTAAAAAATTGATTGCAATAGCCGAAGAAATGTCCCCCATCAAGCTTTTCTGTCCCTATATATGTGGGCAGGTTTACAATGGTAATATACAAATGGGGGTTACAGTAAAACAATTCACTTCCTGGTGTTACAAGTCAAATCTTTTCCAACTTGAACACTGCTCTTGTGATCACAATGTTTTCCCTGTCCTTAAATCTAAACCAGGTCTTGCTACATGTATATGCTCATTGCCAGTGTCCAACAAAGTGGCATTGTACAACTTTGCGATATATACAATTTAAACAAAACATTTTACACTGCAGCATGATGTAGATACTTGTATTCCAGACCCTCATATATGCTCCATAATGATATTACAAGGACAATACAAGCACCTAGCACTAATTTAAGATATAATTGCTTAGTTCATGCTGTGGAATTTTTTAGCATTTACTACAATAATTCCATTTATTTACTAAACCTGTAGGCCTTAATAATAATAATAATAATAATAATAATAATAATAATAATAATAATAATAATACTTTATATTGGATCGTTATTAATTTATTTCTTTATTTAAACCTTTATTCTATTAAGATCCTTACAGAACAACAAAGTACAACTAATTCAGAAGCGAAATAAGATTAAAAAGATCATGCAGAGACTTAATGAATAAGTGTGCACACAATCAATCATAACACAATAATTTTGAACAATTCACAACAGCAAGAAACTGGCATCATGCCCTCCCTTCCCAATCTGAACCATATCGTAACCATTATTTTCTAGTGTTGCATCACATTTATTTCCATGTAAAAACAAGCAACAGTCCAAAGCTCATCCTCCTGCTGGGATGAAGTACGTAACAAACAATACAGGAACTAAAGGCCGCATTCAGAAGAGAGGGTCAAATATAGCCGACCCACTTGAATACTTCCCTATGAGAATATATTCAGTGTCTATTAGCAGATAAGACTTCAACCCTACTAAAGAAAGTTTTTTAAGATTAATGAACACAAAAAACACAAATTTAATATCTAGTTTAGCTGTTTATATATTTAATGCTTTTTTATTAAGAAAAGAAATTTTAGATCATTGACAAAAAATTAATAATTCTTAATAATTCTCACGGACTTTATTATTATTATTATTATTATCATGTTCTATGGGCCGGAGGCCTTAAAAAACTGAATAAATTATATTATTAAGACTTCAAGCTTTTTAGTGGGTCGGCCATATTTGACCCGCAGACTACTTAGTCCACTGTTCTGAATGTGACCTAAGGCCGCATTCAGAACAGTGAACTAACTAATCCATGGATCAAATATGGCTGACCCACTTGAATGCTTGTTACATAATCCACGAGGGGAATCTATTCATTGTCTATTAGTGGATTAGACGGCAAGCTTTTTAGTGTATAGCCATATTTGAGCCGTGGACTGGTTAATCTTCTGTTCTGAATGGGGTCTAAGACATCAGAAGGCAGTGCAGTTCAGTCCCATGAACACTTTAACAAAAAGGGAAAACAAATATTTCATAAAGACATCATGACAAGTTCTCAACTTCCTTGATTTTTAACTTATCAGAAACAAGTCGGGGTAAATGGATATGTCAAAATAACAACTTCCTCATGTTTTTCCTTTTGCTTATTTGATTTACTCATTATTCTTTTACTTTTAACTTGTTAAAAACTTTTTTTTTGTACTGACAAGTGGCACCGAACTGTTTTGACATGGAGAGATAGTTACCTCCAGGACAGGCAACTTTCTTTTAAAATCTTTGTTATCATTTAAATAAATACTTCACAGCATCTTTTTTGTCTTCACAGGCTCACTTTCACTTAAAACTAAACTTCGTAACTTTCACTGGTATCCTAAGCATAAGCAGAATGTTATGATATCATTCTCCTTACAACTCTGAATATGGTAGATGCAAGAAGCCAATATGATGTATGATGTAATGTCTCACTTTCAACATCAATAGAGACATAAAGGCAAAGATTCCGTAAGAGTGTTATTAAAATAATTTCGAATAATTTCCCTAACCTCTCCTCCCCCAACCACCCTTCCCCAAAATCATTTTAATAAAATAACATCTTGGGTTACATGTACATGCAAAATTTAAGCAATGGTTTCACTTCCCCCTGCCTAGACCCTGTAGCAGTTCTTGATCTCCTACTTTGCCAGCTAGTAAGTTTCACATAACAACAACACCATGACATTACAATGTTGTGAACTCCTGTTCTGAAGGCTACACATACAGTTAACTGCCTCCAGAGAGTTAATGGATACCCAGGAACAAACTGGATTAGACTGGATTTCTGATCATATACAAAACATCTACACATGTACAACGTTATTTATTCTCCCCTCTATCAATGAAATTGAATTATCACAATTATCACATTAAACCAAATGCAACATCCGTTCCTACGTATATGTTACCGTACCGTACCAGGTACATGTTTTTGAAATTATTATTCACAAATGCCAGCTAAAAATCATGAATTTCAACTGCACTGTTTTCACTAAGTTGATTTTATGAACTGCATCTAAATAGGTTGTTGTGTAATGATATATACTGTGAATTCTTGTTAGCTATGATTCCCATCCCACTTTCCTTTCCCTTCCTTATAATTAGACCTCTGGATCTCCTTGTGACTTACTAATATTCTAATGTCCGTCCATATTCTAATGTCCCTTGGGCTAGCTAGTCCCCTATTCAGAATGGGGTCTAACACCCCAAAACTCCACCCACCTTTCCCCCTTCTTACATATGTATCCCCCTCCCCTTCTCCTTAACTTTCCTTCAGTCTCTTACCCCCAAAATACCTAGAGCTGCTTCTAATCATAAACATTTTAATCCCATACAAGTTGCTTAATTAATGCTATTCTGATCCCTCATTTTTAACTAACTAGGTTGAGAGCAATTCAAACATACATATGTGCCAAGTATTCCTAACTGGATAAATCCGCTTTTTTCTCGCTTAACATGTCGAGTATTCACGAGGAAAATAACATGGACTTTAAACCCTTGTTATGTATTGACAAGGATGTTTATGATACGACGTAGTAGAAATTTCTGCACAAGCCAACATGTATTTAGTCCAAAAAAATTTAAAGCAGCCCCATGTAGTTACTTCTCTCCCACCTCTAACTTTGATCAAGGCTAATATTTATTTATTTATTTATTTATTTGTTTGTTTGTTTATTTATTTATTTATTTATTTATTTATTTATTTATTTATTTATTTATTTATTTATTATTACTTAGAGGGGGAGATGAGAGCAAAGAGGCTGGCTACAAATATCTGCAGTCAATATGTAATGTATAACATCTATTCATCAAAAACTTAAAACAAACTCCATTCTGCAGCCATTTCTTAGGAAGCAATTAATGAAGAATTGCAATGTCATAATGTTCTTCAAATGCCGCACTACATCATAAGATCAAGTGCAAGTGCAACATTGGTGCAAAAACTACCTTAATAATACAATTTTTACTGATCACTACAATCAAATAAAGTGCAACTTTTCCTGTCACCAGCATTAACAGAGGGTGCAAATATGGGTAACTATTAGTTCTTCATGGAATGCTTCAAAATTATGGTGGTATAAAACAAAACCGAAATTAACACTTTGTCCTTGTTGGTCTGTTTAACATCTTACATCTATAACTAAAAAAAAAAAAAAAAAAACAAAATTCTATAATTTCATTTCACTGTAGTATGTATATGCACAGCATAATCCAAAGCACTAACCCCACCCACACATTCTCAAATAAGGTGCTTCCATCTATTGAGAAAAATGAAAACTAAAAACTCACCATCAGTGCATTGCCTCCCCTTTGCCCACTTCCCACACCTGTAAACAAAAACAATACAGGTCAGGCAAAGTACACAACACTTGGGATAAACAGTACTAAAGTCACCCCTTAGATGGACTGGTACAGAAAAGAAGTAAATATTTACATGATATGATATCTATAACTGACCTTTTGAACTAGGGATAGATTAGTGACATTTAAACACATTAGATGCACTTGATGAAGAAAAAGCATTTCTTAAGATAGAAGCAGATGGGGCCTGATATGTTGAAAAAACAGGAGGAGGGGAGTACTAGTGCACCTTAAATGATCTCAGTCTTTCAGATTAAGACCATTTCCTGCACACAAATACAGAGGGACATGGGAAACAGAAATATTGAGTATAATCCCTTCCAAACAAAGCATACAACTGAGCGCGGCGGTTTTGTTGAGTCACATACATTTATATAATTTAAATTCCTTTTTTTATATTTAAGAAAGATGGACTATAGAAATGAGTGTTTATTGTTTATTAACAGTGTGTCATCAGATGCTCAGATTGAAAAGAAACCAGTAACAGATACATAATGCATTGCAAGGTGCATGGGGCATTGCACATAGTGCGCAAGAGCACAACGCTTAAGTTGCTGTCACATGCACCTTGCTGTTGAAAGCATGACAATCATGTGTGTAAGATACACCATGTCTGAGACCTGCTGGCAGGAAGGAATGGGGGGGGGGGGGGGG